GGTGTGTGGTGCGTGCAGGGACCACCAGGTTAGAGAGGCAGCAGCCACGCGGTGTGAGGCGTTTGTGTAGCCTGTGCGGAGAGGAGAGAACAGGGATAGGCAGAGGCATAGTTGACAGGCTGCAGCAGATGGCTACAATAATGCAGAGGAGATCGGAATGAAATGAACTAAACATCAGGGAAAGGAGAGAGCAGGCCTCCCTCACCAAAAAAAAATATATATATAACTCTCCCAACTTCCACCTCAGAAACTATAATTGTTTCACTGAACCACCCGAGTAAAACTCTCCCAACTTACACTTTAGAAATTAGAATTGTTGTAAACTACAGCAGACTGTTATCAGTAGCTGTAATTAAGTACAGCAGCTACCAACCACCTAACGTTAATGCCTCGGATGAGGTTAGAAAAACAACTGAATGGTAGCAGCTAGCTTGCTCAATCACAGGTACTCTTAAGCATGAAATAACATTGGAAACAATTAACCACAGTTGCAAAAAGTTACCAGTAGCTACCCGCTAGCTAGCTAGCTTTGTTGGTCCAAGTAGTGGGTAAGCTAGCCTCGTGCTTCGCCGGGGTCCACCGAATACAGTCCTTACCTACAATAATTACCTACAATAACCTTCAATAACTACCTGAGTAAGCTACCTATAATACCAAACTACAATACCTACCTACAATCTAAATACATGGTTTAAGCTTAACTCAACACCATATAAGAAGCCAAGCTTACCTTTCATAACGCAGCAATGATTAAACGTTGGGTAGCTAGCACAAAGATATTGTATTTAGCTACCACAGTACAGCCAGCTGGTAGTGTTGGCTGGCTAGCAATGGCTACTGTGTTGACTTTGTTTGAAAAACGGCGTCGCTGCGAACGAATGTAGCTGGCTAAAAGGATATTGTTTTTAGTTGCAACCGTTGCTAATAGCAACTCGCCAGCTAATCCAGGAGGTGAGTAAGCTAGCTAGCTTCGTGCTACACCCGGCACCGCCGAATACAAAAGTAACCTACAATAACTACACAACAGCTATCCACAACAGCCCACGATGCCTACCTATACTACTTAATAATATACAGCCCACGATGCCTACCTATAGTACCTAACTACAATCTAAATACATAGTTTAAGCCTTACTCGACAAAGCCCAAGCTATGTATAAAGCCAAACTGGCAGACTGCAATCAGTAGCCGAAATTAAGTACAGCAGCTACCAACCACCTAACGTTAATGATAATGAGGTTAGAAAAACAGCTGAAGGTGGCAGCTAGCTGGCTCAATTACAGGCACTCTTAAGCGTGAAATAACATTGGAAACAGCTAACCACAGTTGCTAAAAGTTACCGGTAGCTACCCGCTAGCTAGCTAGCTTTGTTGGTCCAAGTAGTGGGTAAGCTAGCCTCGTGCTTCGCCGGGGTCCGCCGAATACAGTCCTTACCTACAATAATTACCTACAATAACTACCTGAGTAAACTACCTATAATACCTAACTACAATACCTACCTACAATCTAAATACATGGTTTAAGCTTTACTCAACACCATATAAGAAGCCAAGCTTACCTCCTGCTAGAGAAAACACAACCTCTCCCGTCAGTGGGTCATCGGAAAGTGATGGTGATGAAGTTGTGCGTGGCCACGCAGTCATGGGTGAACATGGAGTACAGGAGGGGACTAAGCATGCACCCTCAGTGTGGCAGATGTATTGTTGCCTACCCTTACCACCTGGGGAAGGCCCGTCAGGAAGTCCGGGATCCAGTTGCAGAGGGAGGTGTTTAGTCCCAGGGTCCTTAGCTTAGTGATGAGCTTGGAGGGCACTATGGTGTTGAACACTGAGCTGTAGTCAATTCACAGCATTACCACGTAGGTGTTCCTTTTGTCCAGGTGGGAAAGGGCAGTGTTGAGTACAACAGAGATTGCGTCGTCTGTTGGATCTGTTGGGGCGGTATGCAAATTGGAGTGGGTCTAGGGTTTCTGGGATGATGGTGTTGATGTACAACCATCATACTTTAGGCTACACACTGGCTTAGTTACAAATGACACCCTATTCCCTATATAGTGCACTACTTTTGACCAAGACACATAGGGCTCTGGTCAAAAGTAGTGTACATTGTAGGGAATAGGGTACCATTGGGATACAAGCACCATCATCCTCACGTGGCAAAACTGGGTTTGAAAAAGACACAGAAAAACTGTATTGGCCAGATAAATAAGTTATTTAGCCAAGAAGACAATTTCTGATGGAAATGTGCATGTTGAAACGTGAGATATTTGAATAATGTTACAATATAACTTTCACTCTTTCACTGCCCTAGTGGGTAGGCAGGTAGCCTAGAGTTTAGGGAGGCGGGCCTTTGTGTGTGAGTTTGATTCCAGTGTGTGTGAGTTTGATTCCTGTGTGTGTGAGTTTGATTCCTGTGTGTGTGAGTTTGATTCCAGTGTGTGTGAGTTTGATTCCTGTGTGTGTGAGTTTGATTCCTGTGTGTGTGAGTTTGATTCCTGTGTGTGTGAGTTTGATTCCTGTGTGTGTGAGTTTTATTCCAGTGTGTGTGAGTTTTATTCCAGTGTGTGTGTGTGTGTGTGTGTGTGTGTGTGTGTGTGTGTGTGTGTGTGTGTGTGTGTGTGTGTGTGTGTGTGTGTGTGTGTGTGTGTGTGTGTGTGTGTGTGTGTGTGTGTGTGTGTGTGTGTGTGTGTGTGTGTGTCTGTGTGTGTGTGTGCTTGTACTTGATGACAGTCTTGCTTGTTATAGATTTCTTCTTTGCATAAAAGCTTGGCAAGGCAGCGATTCTCAAAACAAATCCTCTGGTTTTAGACCCATTTCTTCTACCAAGAGATTTCATGCTTTAATTAGATTAGATTAGATTAGATTAGATTAGATTAGATTAGATTAAATTAAATTAGATTTGATATGCACATGATAACAACAAAATCAATACAGGAAGACAATGACTAACCATCAAGACAAACCTAACAGCAGCAGTAAGATGGGATAAGGCTGGGGATAGGGGGAGAGGTCCTAAAGCTCTTTCCTGGTTTCTGTTCCTCTCTATGTGGACACTGTACATTACAGTCATGCTGCCGGTGTTTCTGGGTAAATAAAGGCCTATGCGTGCCAGAGATGGAAATTTATCCAAAGGGTTTATTTGAATACAAATACTTAATACTAACCAAAACGATAATTTAGTTTTCTCCTGAATGTACAACTGTTTCTAACTATTTATTTTGTATAGGTTGTGTTTGGTTTAGTAGAAGTACTGTAATACAACATCTACTCAAATATTTTCAGACATAAATGTCCAAATCCTCAACTGCAATTGTACAACTGATATTACATTCTTTTGTAGTCAATGTCTTGTCCTTTTATCATTGAAAAAATGCCCAGTGGCTCTAACCTGTTCATATCAGGGAGATGGTAATGTACAAAATATGTGCCAATGTAGCACAATAACCAAACTTGTTTTAGTGTGTAAGACAGATTCCCTTGCTGCAATAAAGACTATCTTTTCATCTACCTGTGATTGCTGATTTGAACTTTCAGTCAGCACTATGGAGGTAGGTAGGGGAGGGAAGGGGCAAGGATTGATGGGTGATGTTTCACAGTTGTCTCTTATCTGGCTAACAGGCTCTATATCTTACATTATTCTTCAACTTACACATGGGAAAAGTACCTCAACCCTCTCTCACCTCAATAGTCAACCCCTTCCTTATCTCCTTCCCTAAATCCCAGTCTTGTCCAGTCAGCAGGACTTGGAGAAAGGGGGTGAGTTATTGTGTGAGAGTAGAGAGAAGAGAGAGGGGTGAGGTATGGGGATTCTCACCACTTCACAACAATCAGTTAACCCTCCAGGCATCATCTATCCATCCACCCAGCAGTATATCCTTATCGTATCATAGGATCGAGTTACTCTGACAAGCAGGTTTCACTGGTTCACTGGTCATCGTTTCTCTGACAGGACTGTTTCTGTCCTACCTGTGTGTTTTTTAGGAGGGTCATTTTTCACTGAAGGTTTGAGACCGTTAACCATCTTTCACAAAGATTAGTTTCGACAGATAACTCCCCTACAACACTAGCCAGGCAGGCTGTTTTTTATTTCTGTGTTAAAAAGAGCAAGAAGATGACACTTCACGTTTTTCTGTATTTTATTATTCTTATCAAAAACAAACATCAGACCAATGTTGGTATAAGCCATACCAGACCTGGGTTCAAATACTATTTAAGGTATTTCAATTAATTTTCAATACATTTCAAAACAAGTATTCAGATCGAATTTATTTGAAAAACAAGTAGTTGAATATTGGAATGTATTTGGAAATATACTTGGAAAGTATTTGAAAATACTCAAATACACTGACTCAAATACACTCCCATGCATTTGACCCAGGTATTTGAAATTAGTATATGAAATAAATATTTGAAAATACTTTCAAATTCTATTTGGTCAACTATTTGGTTTTGACAAATAACCATTCAAATGCTCAAATAAAAATACCTGTTTTGAGCTGTTTATTTTAAAATACTTAAATACACAGAAAAAAGTTTTAGAATAACAAATACACATGCATTTGAACCCAGGTCTGCGCCATCCATCGCAAATCAATATTCTACAATGGCACATGTTGAACAAATGTTTTAACCCAACCAAACACAAACATAACCAATAAAATACTCACATTAAATACAAATACAAATATATACAAAACGTCAGGACAGTCAGCAATTATAGGTTTGTGTGTCATGGCTGACTCGGCTGTTTGCGTGGGAACCAGGCCCTGCTCATCCTGCTGTCACATGCAACGAAGCCCTGCTCTGTCAGCGCTAACTGACTACTCTGTGTGTGTGTGTGTGTGTGTGTGTGTGTCTCTGTGTGTGTGTGTGTGTGTGTAGATGGTTCAGTTCAGTCTTAGGTAGAAGCGTGCCTCTCTTTCTCCCTCTCCTTCTTTCTTTAGTGTCTTTAGACGTCTAGCTGTCTTTTGCCCATCCCTCTCCCTCCCTCTATCAGTCTGTTCAGACCTCTGTGCCTTCCCGTGGGTATAGGATGCTTGCTGAGCCCAAGCCAGGGTAGAAATTTCCATTGAACTGGCTGAGGATGGGGCTGCTGTAACCCAGGGAGGAGTGGGTGGGCGAGGAGGAGAGGCCAGGGGGAGGCGCCAGCTGGGAAGCCCACTCCGAAGCACCTGAGGTGGGGGAGTATCTACCAAAACCCCCAGGCTGTGTAAGCCTCTGGGTCCCGTCCAGGGTAAGGGTTATGGGCAGGGCCCGGTTCAGTGAATCTCCTCCGATTTCATTGGCTCCCACAGACGCCACTCCAGACATCTCAGACAGGAAGCTGCTCAGGCAAGGGGCTGGTCCTGAGGAGGAAGGGGAGGGGATTCTCTCTGACGTGGGGGACATGTCGATCCCATGGTTGCTGGGGGGTTGGGGACTCCCCCGGTCGTTGGGATCACCTGACTCCAGTCCCCCTGACCCCCCCTCTCCTCCAGACAGCGAATCAGACTTCCTCTTCCTCTTACGACGGAAGTTTCCGTTGTCAAACATCTTCTCACAGTTTGGGTCTAGTGTCCAGTAGTTACCCTTACCTGGAAGAGAGAGAGTGAGGGAAAAAGCGAGGGGGGGGGGGGGGGGGGGGGGGGGGGTGTAGGAATAGATTAGAATGTGTTTGGGGTTGACACATGGACTATTGACTGCATTATCTACTATCATTACTAAACACAGTTAATCTACAGTTCTATCACAAAACTATTACACACTCTAAAGGCATTCCGTCCTATCACAAGACTATTACACACTAAAGGCAAGCCGTCCTATCACAAGACTATTACACACTCTAAAGGCATTCCGTCCTATCACAAGACTATTCCACACTCTAAAGGCAAGACGCAATGGCTCCCTAAAGTAAAGACACATCACAACAAAAGTACACTGTTGACTTGACCAAAGATTAACAGCAGATTGTTCTGGGTGCCAAGGTTAGACTCAAAATGAATAATTAAACTATCAAATATTGTCATACCTTAGATTGATTGGTTATTTTGTGGGCTTATTATAAAACAAACACATAATGTAGTCAGTCTTACCAGGGTCGTCCTCGTCTCTGGGGACCTTCTTAAAGCAGTCGTTGAGTGACAGGTTGTGCCTGATAGAGTTCTGCCAGCCGGCCTTGCTCTTGTTGTAGAAGGGGAAGTTATCGGCCACGTACTGGTAGATCTGACTCAGGGTCAGCCGCCGCTCCGGGGCGCCGTGGATCGCCATGGCGATGAGGGCAGAGTAGGAGTAGGGCGGGCGTACTAGCTTCATCAGGTCTTCCTGTGAGGGCAGAGAGAACCAGCTCAGCTCCCCCCCAGGGCCCCCCGCCCCGCCGGACCCCAGGTAGGGCCTCTGCATCCCGTAGTGCTGGGGGACGAAGGGGGGCCCGGGGTTACCTGGAGGCCCGGCGGTGGCCAGGTATGGGGCGTTGATGCCGGATCCGTTGAACCATAGGTAAGGGTTGGGGGAGGAGGTGCTGTAGTCGTAGGAGGTGGGGGTGGTGCGCTGGGGGCTGGGGAGCGATGGAGGAGGGTAGTAGCAGTCACTGTACATGCTGAGTTCTGGAGGTTCCTGGCCCAGGCTGGGGAACTGGGGGCCACAGCAAGGAGGAGACTGGCCCTGAGGCTCGAACGACGCCATGGTCAGTTAGTCTCTAGTCTCTCTCTCACCTGTGTTGTTCTGGTCCTTGGAAGGTGATGACTGTTTCAGTGTCTGAGTTGTGCCCCCGGGGTCGCTCTCTCTCTCTCTTTCTGTCTCTGTCTGTCGCTCACTCTCTCTACCTGTTACCTGTTGACACTTTTCTGTGTCTCTCTCTCTACCTGTTACCCGTTGACTCTTTGCCCTCGCTCTATGTCAGCACTGTCAAATGTTGCACCTGTTTTATCAGTTTCCCTGGCAACACCCGTTTCTCCTGATTGGTTGTTTAGCCAGGTGATTCTGACAGGAGTGTCATTTTTTCAGTCTGTCAACCAGTTCTTCAGGCTCCCTCTCTCTCCACAGGAATTTACACTCTTACTCTTAGTATGCGTTACATTACATTTTAATGGATTGTGAGGGGAAATAAATAAATTTAAAATTAAATATACATTTCTTGAAACGTTTATGATTGCTGATAATAGGCCTATACAATTTCCAAATGCCTGCTCTCTGAACCTAAATAGTAGGCTAGATTGCTATCGAATTCTGGAGGCCGTCATTGTTGGGAAATATAATTAATATGTATTTCTTCTCTCCCTCAAATGTATCTGGTGTTCCCATAACTTTGTAAAGTGTATTTTTGGCTGCTCAGTCAAATGAAAGGGTAGTGGTTCAGCTGTAACTTTGTTCCTTTGTTACAACCTGGCGCCCCAATGTGGAAAAAAATGGGATAGCACCCAGTAAAATGTGATACACACAGGTTTCTATACCGTATCTAATTTGACAAACATGTCCCTCCTCCCAGTCCTCATTTACGTCACTATGCAGCAAGAATGAAGACGCGCGAAAATATGAAATTGTAACAATGCATACATCAGTGTATCAAATATCAAGCAAGAGTTTTGTGAATTTGCAACAATGTTTCAATCTTCCATACAAGATACATTGTTTCAATCTTCCATACAAGATACATTGTTTCAATCTTCCATAGAAGATACATTGTTTCAATCTTCCATAGAAGATACATTGTTTCAATCTTTCATACAAGATACATTGTTTCAATCTTTCATACAAAATACATTGTTTCAATCTTTCATACAAGATACATTGTTTCAATCTTCCATACAAGATACATTGTTTCCCGTGGCACGCGCCAGCAAGTTTGTTCCTCAGTGCGCGAGGACATTAAGAGAAGCACCACGCGCAATTTCTCTTAGCTAACGAACAACCCAAGAGAAGAGGAAGAGGCCGCTAGATAACGATCCTTTCGGATAACGTTAGAACTTATCGTAAGTATTTAGTTCACTCGTAAATATTTATAAATAAGCAGGTGCCTATGTAATTAAAGTACTCTAAAGTTGGTTATTTTATCCAAGCTTGACAAGCTCACTGTTTCTTTGGATACATTTTTGCAACGGTTAGCCTGGCCAGCCAACTGAACTAACGTTAGCTAGCTTCTATGGACACCTGTCAATCAAAGTCATCAAAACAAAACAGTTTTGAAGTTTATACATTTAAGCTTAAGCACGTCCTTGCCTTATACCTACTTAGCTGTTAACCATTATGAGTATGCTATGTTTATGAAACATGTTCAGTGTGCTTGTTCTGCTTGGTTATGGTAGGCTAAGGTATTCATTTGGGTTTCGAATCTTCATATGAATATCGCGCATTTAGATGGCCGAATCTCCGGCTACATCTGGCGACCATCAAAAGGATCGTAGCAAAGAGATGATGGAGTTGAACAAGGGTTTAGAGAGAATGATCGAATACATGGAAAATCAATCAGGTATGTTGTCTGATTATGGTAATCGCTACCATTTGAAAGTTGTAGGCTGTTTAATTTTCAAATCTATTTACATCTAGGTTTTCTGTATGGTGGTGTAGGTAGCTATAGCTATTATTTTCAGAAAGAATAAAGGAAAATAGTTAGTAGCAAAAAAATTATAATAATGAAACCGGTCTTTACTTACGGCTCGATCACATCGACATTGTTTTGCGCAAAATGGTGTGCAGCATCATCTGGATATGTGTGCAACAAAAGTTCAACATTCACCTTCTGCTACTATTCTGTCAAGCCGTCTACGCATACAGTTTGACGCATAAATTCGATTAATCCAATGTATGCGCCACACAGATCGCACTGCAATAGCCTCTGCAGGGCAAACGCAGTGTTCCATTGGTGTACCAAAATGCAATGACACAGTAGGTGTGATCGAGGTGTTAGACATAAACCCTAACTTCCTATCACCTTATTATCCATTTACTACTCACTCTATAATATTCCATTTAGAAAAGTTAATGGGTGTGTGTAATTCATTCTAAATTCTGCCTTGTGTTTTAAGTCATACGCAGTACGGCCCACTTCTGACACTGAGAGCTCTGTCCCTCTTGTCTCCCCTGTGGTTTCCCAGTGCAGCTAAAGTGGATGGCCTATGACATGGTGGTGCAGCGGACCAGTCCTGATCTGGGGGACTCCCTACGGAGGCTGGAAGAAGAGTTCCTCCGCTACAAGGCTGGCATCTGTGGCTTCCCTGGGGAACAGGAGCCAAACCAGGGACAGGGGCTGGGAAAGGACCAGGGGGTGGGGAAGGGAATGGAGGAGTGTCCTAGACCAGTGGATGGATACCACCTCCACCCCACTAACAGAGATGCATGATTCACTAGGATTGTCTGATGTACTGACCTTTATTCAAAGCTAGTAGCCTGTGCCCTGTATGCTTGTCTACAATGTTGTTGCAGTTATATGTAGACTAGAGTTCCATATCTGCAGCAGCAGCCTCTCTTTGACAGAAGCAGAAGCCACTGGAGATAGATGATAGAGATAGATGTCTCCTGCCCCACACTGCAGGCTGTTGTATAGTGCTGTTGTATGGTGCTGTTGTATGGTGCTGTTGTATGGTGTTGTATGGTGCTGTTGTATGGTGCTGTTGTATGGTGCTGTTGTATGGTGCTGTTGTATACAGATTGTGGTTGTGTGTTGTTAAGTACCTGTTATAGACTGTGTGTGATCCATCTCTGGACAGGGTGTTCAAGGCACTCTGGTGTTGTTCTGATTGTTGTTATTTATTTGTGGTTTGTATGTTGTTTGGTCACATTTTAAATAAAAAGCTTGAATGAGAATATTGACCCTTGGCTTGTTTATTGGGATGCCAAAAGCGGTTGGTAAAATGTGCATACACGTGTTGACATTCTACATCTTGATAGTCACATCCCAGTCCTACCCCCAGCAGTCATGGTACTGTACACTTTCTACTTCACAGTTTGAATTGTTCAGAGTAGTAGGCCTATGTCAATTAATGTGAGAGATGAATATACCAGGCTACTGTATGGATTTCTATGTGAATCAGTGGCCATGCAGGTTGACATGACATAGCTGTACTGACTGAATGTAATCTACCGTAGTTGACTGTCTGTTGTGTTTCAGATGGAGAGATGCGAGAGGAGTACAGAACAGGGTGACTCTACTGATCTGGACCACATTCTGAAGGGGCTGGACTCCATGTCTGAGTGTCTGGACAGACTGGCATGTACGTATGTCTGTAGGGCTCTGGTCAAAAGTAGTGCACTATGGGAATAGGGTGTCATTTGGGAGTCAATCAGCGTTCTAATTTGTAGATACTATGCAAATCGAGTGATGCGATCTTCCTCCTGCGCATCGAAAATAGGATTTCGACCCGCCAGCCAACGAACCGCTGTGCAATTCAGCCATGATGTTCAGATGTTCAACATCTCAGAATGTGGTTTATGGATGGCCTTTGGATAGGATAGGCCCCCAGTTGATGTGTTAGATATGGGGAGATGTGTGTAGCCTATTACAGGCAGGCTCATTATGAGATGATTTGATGTGAAGATATGAAGCTGTGTCTTGTCTCTGCCAAGGGAGACGGTTAGTGGGCATTCAGCACTACAACAGTGAGGCTGTGTCCCAAAAGGCACCCTATTCCCTACATAGTGCAATACTTTTGACCAGAGACATATGGACCCTGGTCAAAAGTAGTGCAGTAGAGAGGGAATAGGGTGCCATTTGGGACACAACAGTCAGGCTGCAGTAATTCTTCCAATCATGCCACTTTTATCAGCCAGAGATCTCTGTCTCACCAAGCCTCCAGGCCAGAGAAAACATGAGGTGCTTTGTTAGATCAGAGAGAGAGAGAGATGGACACTGACACATTAAACATATATCCCTGGGACACAACAATAATATGACATCTTCATCTCAGAGATTAACATTATCGTAACATCTGTATTTTATTATAAATAATGAACTGATAGACATTTCCCCTCTTCATTTTCTTATGGGGTTTCTTGTTTGTTTCCTATAAGAAGAAAATCATTCAGCTCTCCTTTCGTATTGGACTGGATTTTGTTTGTACAGGGATATATTAGATTTTGTTATTCTGTTGTGCCTCACAGTGCGGACCCAGCTGAGACAGTGTGACCTGATTGTGTGCTTCAGCCACCCAGAAAAGATGGCCTCTCTGAACAGAATGGACCAGGGGGTGACCTGGCCCAAGACTGGACCTCAGGCTGAGGAGTAAGGGAGGAGAGGAGGAGGAGGAGGATAAGATGGCGAGGTAAAGGAGAAGAACAGGAGGAAGAAGAAGAGGTAGAAGAAGAGGAGGAGGTAGAAGAAGAGGTAGAAGAAGAGGAGGAAGAGGAGGAGGAGGAGGAAGAAGAAGAAGAGGAAGAGGAGGAGGTAGAAGAGGAGGAGGAAGAAGAGGAGGAGGATAAGATGGCGAGGTAAAGGAGAAGAACAGGAGGAAGAAGAAGAGGTAGAAGAAGAGGAGGAGGTAGAAGAAGAGGTAGAAGAAGAGGAGGAGGTAGAAGAAGAGGAAGAGGAGGAGGTAGAAGAGGAGGAGGAAGAAGAGGAGGAGGAGTTAGAAGAAGATGGAGAGATGAAGCATGAGAAGATAAAGAGAAGAGGAGAAAGCATATGTGTCAGGAAAGTATGGAGTTAGTGGGTTATAAAACTGGATAGGGTTAACAGGAAATAGTCCATACATACATTTATTTATTTTATTTTACAGTCACAATCGTTCTCTGAGTTTAATGATCAAAACTGAAAAATGACAGATGAAGAGCAGTGTAATGTATACAACTTCACTACATTTAACTTGACATGCAACTTCA